TATATCAGTTCAAAAGCTCATAAATAGCTCTTAATTCTACCGCAAAGATTGATCCAATATTTTTATTTTTAAGCGGGGGGAAGGGAGGCTGAGTCGATATCGACTCAGCCATCTCACGAAAAACATTAAATTCATGCTCAGCGTGACGAGCTCAAAAATTTTAATTTGCGGTATATGAAAGCTCATAAATAGCTTATAATTTTGCGCTATTGGTTTTTTTATTTGTGCAAGGTGGGGGGGCCAGCTCGACAGGGGTATTAAAACAATTGATAAACCTCGTCGTAAGTTTTGGGACCTATCAGATGCTCGGCCTTAGCATGTTGTGTATAAGTAGTTACTGCTACTCCAGACCAGAACGGATGCCAGCAGAGATCATTGATAACTTTGTCTACAATCACTTTTCCGTCGTAGTAATTTTGATGTTCTTTGTAACTTAATGACACTGGTGCCTGTGTATCTTTTTCGTTGCGTACCAAATTTGCAAAATCATTCGTGTATATATCCCACGTAGAGTTCATTAAAAGCTGAATATAAAAAAAGATAATAGACAAAAATTAGAGAGATAAATGCTATTTATTGTAAGCTTTCAACTTTAATCCTAAATATTTTGATAATTAACCTTTCAATTAAATTACGTTGCGATAAAGTTATTATTGTGCCATTTGAGGCATTATAAAATAAACAAAAATTGCAACATTACTTGATCGCACATCTCGCCAGTGTAACGGTCTAGGAAATCCTTCAAGTTATCTATCTTTTCCTCAGTGTAAGTAGACAAATCGACTGTCTTGTATTCGTATAGATATTGGAACCAGGAATTGGCGGGTATCGATGGCGCCGTTTGCGCCTCGTTGTGTCGAACACTCGGCGTCACTTGTGTAGATCTGCTTACCAATTTACGTCGTATATTCTCAAATATTTGTTGGTACGGCAGCAGCTCCATGTATCCGTCTCTCTGATCGTCCGCCTTCCTATCTGTTAGATTTATCGGCGCGTTCAGCAAATCCGCGGTAGATATCGCCTGATTGTAATTAAATATAAAAGATATCAATTGTTCGATGCATCAATCGGCGGTTAACCATATGATTTACGCAGCGCACCTTACAGTTATAATTAAATAATTGCTAATATCACAGGATTTATTAACTACTTCTTGCCCGATCGAAATTAGGATAAAGTGATTAATAAATAATTTATTACAATTTGTAAATGCTGTTGCGACATTATTGTCGATTTACTGAGGCAGTATTTATAGATGGGATTAGTAGAAATTTACGATAATCACTTTAATACCGCGGCTTGGAATTAACGAACGCGAGCTATCAATATCCACACTCTGCACACGCGCGAGTCATGCATTAGTTAATGTGCGCTATTGGAACGTATAGAAATTTGTAAAAATCATCAAAATGCTATGAATATCAGCCGGTCAAACGGCCGATATGAATATGAACTCTATCAAATAGAAACACTGGATATGCAAATTGATTGATTGAATGATCGAAACATTGACAGAATAAAAAGTCACGAATTATTTGACGAAAGCTGTATTATTTAAAATAATTAAAATCTAGTCAATGCGATGTGTGTCATGTTACTTGTATCGAAATGCAATATATTCGATAAATTAACGATAGAAAATTATTTTTCAATTTTTTAATTAATTTTTTAATTTAATAAGATTTTGTTATGTAAAAAATTTCTTACAAGAGTATTACTTTGATACACTTATTTAATAATTTTTGACAGCAATCTAAATTTAATTGTTATTAGTTTAAAATGATTATTAATATTCTAAAAATAATATTGAAAATTAATTGGAAGATTTATAAATATATTATATATTTGGTTGCCAATCTATTTAAAACTATGCTTGAATCACTAATTGTTGCGAGCTGTCAATTGATTGTTATCTGAAACTAGACTGGCTGATTGCCACTTTGCCTGCATGTGTCGTGATACCCTAGTGTTACGAAAGGAGAGGATAGAATGTTTTTGGATTCCCGCCATTCTGTCTGCACGTGTTGATACTCCCGTGTTTCGATAAAGAAAAGGATGAGATAAGCTGTTTTTGGAGCTGAAAAGATTGAATTTCTAATATATAAATAATAAATTTGGAACAGGAATGTATAAATCTGAGAAAAGCTCCGTATTTATCTATTTAATGGTTTTGTCTCTTCATATACAGTATTTTTGAAATTAATCTTTTGTGATAGTTTATTTTATTAAACTTTTCAATTATTTGTTAAAATATATTATGCTATTTAGCTTAGCGCAGTTAAAAAATAATATTTTGTATCAATTTTATTTTGCAGAAAGTAGTAAATTGACTAAACTATGATTTTTTAATGTTATGAAACCGCGACTATATGATTCTTTAATAACGGCAAAACCAAAATTATGATTTTTTAATGTTATGCAAACCTCAATTTCAAACAGTGGCCTTGTATTCTGAACGACTTCGATGTCGATTTCGGCACTGCTTCCCAAGTCATGCCATTGACCAAGAGGTTTATAGATCGCATTTTTCACACGGTTCGCGTGATCTTCTCTTTCCGTTTCTATACGTTTCACAATAGCATCTCTGCTTTCCTCGTTGACAACAATGTAGAATTGACCCTTCTCGGATAGGGATGGTGCGTAACCGATGAGAATATTCGTGTTGGGAAATTCGTAAATTTCGTCCTTCACCGGTAGAAAATCGCTGCTCTCAGCGTGTAGATCTATATTATCCTCGATGATATCCTTTTTGACGTATATCCACGGAAATTCTGTCGTGACGTTTTCGTCGATGACGCAGCCGATGATTTTTTGCGTCAGGGGGGATAAATCAATTCTCACTAATCCCGACATTCCCTGAGATCAAAATTTATAAATATTTATTGCTAATATTGCTGCTATATTATAGTTTTGTTTTGCTACAATTTAAATGTATTTATGTTTTACAGATAAACTTTTGTGCTACATGGTGCTAGTGAATATTTGTTCCGCCATAATTTCGCAATGTGATAAAACGCGTATCGGGAGTGCGGGAGTGCGGGAGTGCCGTTTAATGTGAGTCGCGCGATTTTCGTATTCGGGCACGCACGTGAGCAAAACGTGCGCCGCGACGCGTGTGAGTGTTAGTGTAAATGCCTCGAAGGATCACTGAGAGGAGGAGGAGGCCTAGGAGGCATCGGGCGACGTCGGAGCAACAGTGCGGTAAGTAATTTATAAAAAAATACGATAAATATAATTTAATTTTAATTTAACATAATTGATTAAAGAAATTTATGATGGAAGAAACTCTGAAAAAGAATCTATTTTCTACAACAAAAAATAATTTGATATCTTTACTATTCATTTACTTTTAATAACTTTATCTCTGTCACATTAATGACATTTACTATGACTTCGATTTTTTTATTTAAACTGACTTTGTTTCCAAAATTAAACAATCATATATATTATTTATGTGCAAATAATATTTTGTCGAGAACTAGTAACGATAAGAAAAAGAGAAGAGAAGAGAATCTTCTTATTCATGTATAATTCTGTAGAACTCTATGTTTGACATAACAATTCAATAAAGACGAAATTTCGGAATTTCGGAAATAGAATAAACTACTGTGACGCGGAGATATTCACCATTGACACAGAATATCGAATTTTCCTTGGCGGTTCCGTGGTTATCTGCGTCGTGTTAAGTTTCAAAATGTCGTTCACTGACGGCCCAGAAGAGTCGTAAGACGCGAGATCATAGATACTTTTCCGTCTTTCCGACGGATCATCCATTTCTATGCGAACTTTCCTTTTTGCCTCTTCCTCCCAATCTTGTATGGCTGAAAAAATAAAGAAACAAGATTGAATAATTCAATAATTTTTTAACAACGAATTTATGACAAATATAATCAACTTTAATTCTCTTTACAAATTGTATAGATAAATAATATAGTTCTATTCATTAAATAAATCAATTATATCGTGTAATAGAATTTGAAGAACAGCCTGACTGTCAAAGCTTAAAATGGCAGATCAGTTACAATAATAAAGATATTTGGTCATTCCATTTTAGCAAGTTATTTAAATACACACCAGTTGACGCGTATTTATCGGATTCGCATGATTCACATTTAAATAAACTAAAATCAATAATCTCTTTCATTATCTCGACCAACTCGTTGCTTTAAATCGCGTCATTCATATTTGAACATATTTACAGTCGACTAAGTTTACGTTTCATTGTTAACACAGTGCGTACTTCCACCCGACACGCGTATCCGATACGCATCATCGATCTTCGTTCAGTACATAATTTTAACCCATTCGTTACAAAGTTCCAATATTGGTACATTCGACATTATCGACGTTCTTCCTCGTAATGCAGCGCGTTGTACACTTTAACAGCATATTTCCATTAAAGAATATTTGCTTTTGAATAAATATATCAAAACATGTTTATTACAAATTCTAAAAATACTTTGCGATGCTTTTTATTCTTTATATTTAGCTTCCTTTGAAATGTTGAAAAAATATTGCAAATGGAAATGAATAAATTAATGTTTAAAATGTGATCATTCTGAGAGAAAGGAAAGAGAAAAAGATATTGTTAGTAATATTATGCATATTATGCATAAAATATTTCTTTTCCTAATTATTATTATATACCAAAATGTCTCACCAATTATAACCTACCTGATTTTTCTTCAAGTTCTCCTGTTTCTTCATCATAAGATTCTTTGTCTTTCGAGCCGTAAGATTGTTCTACTCTAAAAACATCATCCTCATATTTGTATTGCCTCTCGATTTCATCTTCTTGAACCTTCTTGTCTTCCGGTATTCTCTTCCCGTTCGCTTCGCGTACTTTTTCGTCCATGATGTAAACTGCCCGCTCGATTATTTTATGTTTCCAAGACTCCGTTGATGAATTCTGCACGATCGACGTGCGAAGTGCAGCCACGTATATTCTAACGCGTGTATGAATCGATACGACGTGCGGCGAATGTAACTCGAATGCGATATGAAACGAAAGACTGAAAGGATCTTCATATCCGATCTGCAAAACGAGCGAATCGGTTCAAAGTACTAATGTAACAATTTTTTAAATTCAAATTATATAACATCGGTAACGCGGCTGACGATACACGTTGAGTCTAGTTAACGAAATTTTGAGTCGAGTACATTTGCAGTTTGATTGAACATTGAAATCTCGGGTTTCATCGTCGGGGACGTCCGTCCACCGTGTAACGCGAAGTGGATGGATGTTTCGGAATATCAATTTTTCCCTCGGAATACGTGCGAACGCAAGCGACGAGGGCAATTTAATTGTTTTTACATCAGGCGAATGAAACGGGTCGCCCGTGCACTTAACCCATTTCGCAAACTCGATATACCACAGGCATTGTCAGCGCTAACGGAACGTTTTGTAATCCAATGAGTAATTTAATTGCACAGCGACCAATTCGTCGCTTAAATGTGATATATCGCCAATTGATAATATGGATTGAACGATATACCTATTTATAAATATTACAAAATATTTGTTAACCCAGTAACGGAGATAAAATAGATAAAAAAGGGACACTAAATAAAAAACGCATCTTTCGTGATTATCATTATGCGAATTATTATTCTTCATTATGAATATTCATCATATATTTTTCAAATGCGATGTTTTTTAATAAATGTGAGTAATTGCAAAGAAATAAAATTTTCTTTACAATTATTTGAATAAAACATGATGCAATTGTAGCGCTGGACTGGCTCGCATAGTATTCTGGGATTCTAATTAAAAGGTTTCCATCGGACAGCTGTTGAAATGCAATTACACCCGGTATGAAATATTATTTGTTTGTCAAAGCAAACTTTTAGTCGTCAAATACAATAAATTGTTACAGTGATATAAATGTTATACAATACCGTTAATACAATCTTATATAACGGAATTTAACAGTAGCTTTACCCAAATGAAAAATAGTATAATTAGCATTAATTTATAACTTGCAATGTTTCTGTAGAGAAACTTTCATCAATAATATTGGCGGGTCTTGCGTTTATTGCGAAGATATTATAAAGCCACGTTAAATTTTCCGTTTAGAAAAATTTATGACTTATCCTTTACCGTATGTCAGAAAGATAAACTTACATATACAAATCTTTATACATACTTTACATATATCTTAAATTCCCTGCTGTTACGGTTGCGTGAAGAGGGTCGCTTTACGTTAAATGCGAGGGAAATATTTATTCAAGATTACGGTGACATAGATTACGACTTTATTCTGTGTGCAATGTAGCATATTTTCGCCGCATACATGATAGTTTACATATTTCGAATAGACAGAATGTTTCCGCTTTAATTGTCGTTGGTGTTTATGACTTTCGTAAATATGCGTGAAGTCGGTCCTACATAATTCAATTGTTAGATATTCGACAAATGTTCCGCGTTGATGTGATGGATTTAACTGTACCGCCATATACACAGAATATTATTGCGCGATATGCATTATCTTGTCCGCATAATGCAACGCTTTTCTCAGATTAATATTTTTTGAGTAAATATGTTTTAAAAAAGAAAGAAATTAAAGTAAAGAGAAATAAAAGTAAAAGAAAATAAAAAGCGTCAAAGATTTCGAAAGCTAGAGAATAAAATAAAGTATGACACTTGAAACAATAAGAATAAATTAATACAAATGTGCATTTGCGTCGTTAGAAGTACAATAAGTATTGTTTCCACGATTTATCTCTTATCATGTTTATCCTGTATTTTTGATTGCTTTTGGCGAATGCACTGCGCCGAGGGCTGTTTTTTTTTAAGTATATTTTATATCCAGTACATCGATAAATCATAAAAAGGAAGTGCTAGTTTTTTTTAAAGACATTCACTTGTTTAACGTAAACTGAATTTTACGTGAAACGATATTGATTAACTTGCGGATAACCTTTCCACGACTTTTTATATTTAAGAGATTTTTTATGTTGCTCCCATTCACTCTTATTCGTCGTAAAATGCGCGTATTACACTCCAGGTGGATCCACTTCGTGTCAATATAAATTTTAACTGCTTAGCTTCTCATTTTGTGTCGCGTAACGAGATGCGCGATGCCGGTATATATGTTAATTAATCGAAAAATTTTCGATTAAACTATCGCGATAACTATTCTCGCGGACATATGGTCGTATGCATGCATGTCGACGATTTGGTATTTTCAGCGTTTGGGCGGTGAGCCCGGTAATCGCCGATTCGCGCGCCCGTTGGAAAAATAGATTCCGGCGTTTAGACAATTTGGCTTCGCGGCCGGCTGTACGGCGATTAATCAATTGCAAATATATACCACGTAGATTGGAAATACACGCTGCCTATTTCCTGTTTAATCGAATCAAATTGAGATGGTATTTTCCCTGTGTCCGGTCTCCCCATTTATCGGACCGAAATGTCGAGTGGTGCTTTCCTCTCCGCCCAACGTAGAACGTAAACGACCCCAAATGCGCTCACTGACGATTGATCGGTCAAAGGGAAAACCATGGAAAGTCCTCGCCATTTCCGAGAGCAAAAGACATAGAAAAATAGCGGGTGGAATAAATTCTTTAAAGCTTCTTATCTTCTTGATGTACATCAAAGACATTAATAGCTTGCGAAATCTAATTTTGATATTTTTCTTCTATGAAAACGTAGTAGTAGTAGATACAGTCATATTATTTTCGAATACTATGGCTAGTGTCTATTCTACGCAAATATTTCTCGAAATTTTCTCATTTATACTTTTATCATATCTCTTTGCTAGTGAGTTTATCATTCATAGCGCCGTGCAAAGAGCTAACAGTAATTTATTTATAGTAAAACGGCTTAAGTAGCTGGGACAAGAATTTAAGTGGCACTTTCTCTCGCGGAGATGCAAAGGATGTTTCATTGCAAACAGATGTTAAAATACTCCTCCAGTGAGAGCGCGCTGTTTACTGCCACGTTTATTTTGAAAATTTAGAATAGAGCGCTTTTTTAAGTCCCGCCGGACAGAACTTTTACGCTGCTTTTGTAGTAGTCGGCATAGCAACGGCGGGGGCACTTTATCGTTGTAGCTTTTATTCTGCGTAGTCGCTCGCTCACTCGCTCGTGCTCGCGCGAGCTCGAAGCTCCCTGTGGATACAGAGAATCGGTTGGGACAAACGCGCGGCGCACAAGCGAAGCATTGAAAATATTGGGTTGTTTTTAACGCCACCGTTCATCCTGGCGACATGAATTTTTACGACGATTTGACAGCTGCGAGATTTTCATATGAAAGGATTCCCGTCGTGAGCCCACTAGAAAATAATTTGAGCAATAAAATTTATGCTTTTAGTCTGGATTTTCGGAAAAGGCAATAGCGACTTGTAGGATATGAGCATTTTGATGGAAGTATGTGTTGACTGCGCGCGTGTATAAAAGACTCTTAACAAACTAATCTTTCAACTCCGCGCGTAAAAATTCTATTCCTGAAAGTATACGTATAAAAAAAAATATAAGAAAATATTAATTTTGAAAAGATACAAACAAATGTAATCTTTTTTATATAATTATGTACACATTCATATTGTATATACTAGTCTTGTATTATTATCTTATATCATCAAGTTGTTTAAAAAACTTATATTGAACTTATATTATAAAAACTTTAATATGCTACGATACGGGATTTTATTTCAAATTACATGCTAACAATCCGAATACGTGTCATGGATTTAATCTGACAGAATTGCACTCGTTTTTGTTTTATTTATTTTGACAAAGATTTGTGCCGAAATTAGATTGTTCCTATTTCCTCCGAAACAGACAAATCGTGCCACGCTTTGTCGCCTGTGCTCCTGAAATTTTTATTCGAAGTGCTTCGAATGTCTGACACGGGCCGACGAGCTCGAAATATAGCAGCCCGAATGGTTCGTCGAACAGACGACCGATTTAATTTTACCTTATCATTTGATCATCAGCATTTAGCGGATACATCAGCATTTAGCGAGCGAATCGCGCTCTATTTTTATTTCCATTATGAATAATATCGAAGGAGTTACGTGTAAACGGTTGCGGCTTATGGTGTCGCGATTTACATAACGCTTTTTTGATCGGTGAAGCTATAACACGGTGACGAAGGTGATAATTTTTCATGCCTTAAAGAATTTTCTTTCGCGTCATAAATATGAAAATGATTATGCGCGATCTTTGTGGATTTCTTGCCTTTTTTAGTTTGAAATTAGCAATGCATTAATATTACAATTCATTTTTATTTTCTGTTGTCTTTTACTTCTGCTCCGTTGCTTGTGTGATAATATTTTAGTGATTCGAAAAATTATCATTGATCGTTAATTATGTAATAATAATGTGATTTATTACTTCAAAATTTGCAATGAATATTTTAGCTTACATGTATAAACCCCAGATTTATAATATCATTGACTGCAAATTACATATTACACTAGGCAGTTACATTTACCATTAAATGTAAAATATGTAAATTTTGGATAATCACAATTTTGGTTAGTTTAATGGATTTATATCTAATAATATAGATTTTATGCTCATCTTTTTATTTTTTCCAATGTGCGTAGATCATATTTTATATAATATACCAATTCCGAATCTCGAACAGCTATATTTGTGAGAAAAATTTGTTGAGAAAATATGAAAGTGGTACGATTTTGTTTCTTTTCAGAATGTTTTTAGCATACAAAATAATAAAACAAGTTTTCCATTTCAAACTGCAATTATCTGATGGAATATAGGTTGACGTAAAGTAAATAAAGAATTTTCGAAAAACGGTTGTCAATGGTCGAAGCGTGCTTTGAAAAACTCGCTACATGCGCGCAGCTGGAATAAGGCCAGTGTGCATTTCATAGAGGAAAATGCGA